GCAAGAGGGCCCATTTGAAATGAGGGACGCCGACTTCATAAAAAAATTACGTTTAAACAAAAATTTGGTTAGAAATCTTTAAAGTTATGAATGACATTGGTATCGATTCTGACACAATTCTCGATATGACGATACGGAGTTTTGGCGGGATTTCTGCGAGTGCGGTTGGCATCTTATTTTAATTATTCTAAAATTCGTTCATAGTGGATATTGTGAAATAAAATTGGTGTGATTTGGTGTTACAACCGTCTGCGCAACTGAAGAATTAGTGGAATCTTTAAAATACACGCTATTCCGGTCAAGTGGACTCGAGAACTTTATTGTAGTGTTGAATACCTCACAGAAGCTTAGAGAAAAAGCCAACTCCATAAATTTCGTGCCAAACACTCCAAGAAACATTAGAATGCGTCACACCGACATTCGAATGTAAAAAAAAGAAGATTGATATAACTAAAGACTAGGCTTTATGGGCATTGTTCCATTTGCCTTCCCTGAAAAGGGAGAATCTTAAATAATATTGACGTTTCATTATACATAACGTCGAAATTATAAACGCATACAATTTAGGTGAAGTTGAGATTTCTTATACTCAAAAAATGTATATCTAATGTATATTTAATATGAATGGAATTCATAAAATATCATTTTGTTGCTTATAAAATTCTGCTCTAATTTATTATTATTTTATATAGACTATGATGTTAACTTAATCGAGAAAAACGGAACGCATTCGGCAGTGAAAGAATATCTACGATAGATATAATATCATTGGAATATCGAAAATCCACGAGAATAGCATTTTTTACCATCAGTAGATATTTTCAATAGATATCCCTACTTTCGATATTATCTCGAAGCCGATATAATATCTACGCCGCGAGAATTGGGCCCCTGTTTAGAAAATTCTTTACTTAATGGAATGATCCCTAAAACTGTATTTTCAGAAATTCGGCTTTTGGGAGCCGAAGAAATAAGTCAAAATGATTTCTACAATGTTACAAAAATGGTATAAACCTTTGGAGACTGCAGAAAATTATATTACCCCAGGGGTAGGCGGGTTATGAGGCTAATGTAGACAAACCCGTGGGTAACACTCTCGCATCGTAAGACTCTACGCTAACCTTTGACTTATTAGAAGGCCTATTATAGCTTGCTACATAAAAAACGGTGTTGATGGCGAATATCCGGAGAAAAGATTACGGTCACAGCACAGCCCCCTCTAAATCGAAGTATCAGAAACCGTGGAGGCACAAAAATAAATAAACATTGGATGACCTCTGGAGCAAAGATCCAACGTTATAATTTTGAAGACAGCAACATCAGTAAAGTCTACGGAGTTTAATTTCCTGTCGCAAAAAAGATAACCGAGTTTTTCTGCATTATATCAGATAAAATCGTTGTAATGCAATAGTTACAACTGTATCTCTTTCTGCTTAGATTGGTATGTACACCTAAGTCAAGTTATAACTAGATTTGTCAGCAGTCTCTTCTTTTCATTATCTTTAAAGCATTACAAGAATATACTACATTGTTAAATTAAGTTAAAAGTTTGTAGAATCATTACAGTCAAGAATCAGACTGAGTCATCATTATCATTATCATCATCATCGACCCATGCTCGTCCACTGCTGGACATAGGTCTCTCCTAATGCACGCCACTGCTCTCGATTTTCTGCCACTCTCATCCAGCCCACTCCAGCCAGCCTACGAATGTCATCATCCCATCTTGTCTCAGGGCGTCCCACACTACGTTTACCGAGTCGCGGTCTCCACACAAGAACTTTACGGCTCCATCCGCCGTCAGTTCTGCGGCTAATGTGACCAGCCCACTGCCATTTCAGTTTCTCTGTCGGATTACATCATTTCTGATGCGGTCCTTCAGGGAAACTCCGAGACTTTAAATTGGTGGACCAGTCCAGCCGTGAGTGTCCACGTCTCGGCGCCGTATGTCATAACTGGGAGGACGCACTGGTCGAAGACTTTCGACTTAAGACATTGAGGGATGGGTGACGAGACAAGAATCAGACCGAGTGTCCTGTGGAATTTACAGGATAACTTAAGTAAACTGTTACGATAGTTACCGGCGAGGATGCCTGGTTGGGCGAAGAAACTGGTGGCCCGGTCCTCGGGCTTAGCGTTCATGATGAAGACAACGTTGTCTGCTGGCCGCGACTCCGCGTTTACGTTCGAACCGGCTGGCTCGTGGTCCTGAAACATGGAACAATCAACATTGTATTTGTACCATTGAAAAAACTAATTCCTGCGAATTGAGAACTTACTCAGTTTTTGTAGTCTGTTACAAACAAAGTTATTTAAGTACTGACAGCACAATACAAACCGACAACAAGTAGGGTATTTGACAAGTTCTAGAAAACGATCTCACGTTATTGCCTAATGTTAAGGGAATCCGTAAAAAGTGGATATTCATCATGCTGTTATGTATTTCAGTAAAAATAACCAAATGAAAACTCCATTTTCAAATTGCCGCGAAAACGTTTCTCTGGACAATATGGCGTCTTACTAGTGTGTGACGTCACACGACTGTTATTAAAACGTCAAACGATACAATGTAATGTCACTTTAACCGGAAGTTTACTTGCGTATGACGTAATTTTAGGCTCCGCCAATCCCAAGCGTTTTGGGTCACTTTTTTCGTGGGTTTTTAGTAGTGTCCGACCGAAGGTTCGGTTTCGGTTTCGGTTTCGGCCGAGTTTCGGCCAAAAATCAAGTTTCGGTGGCAGTTTCGGTTTCGGCCAAAATTGGCCGAAACTTTTGCCGAAACCGAAACTGATTACGGAAGTTGTCGTGCAGGCTCGCCTAACTTCGTTTCTCGCGGTAATGCATTGGCGGACGCTGGCGGCCCTGATCGGGAATTCTCGTGCGCCGTTCGGATAGCTCCGTAGCACACACAACTTAGTGCGTTATCGCCCGATGCTAACATTCTTTAGAGGTTATGTTATGATGGAACTTCTAAGAGATTTATGATTCTTCTAAGTACAAATACAAACCAAAGTATTAATAAGATTTCAAAATACCAATACTTAATATTTAATGAAACAGTAAAAATTAGTGGAGATTGCTCAAATTGGCCCAAATGCACAAAAAATATTGACATACACGGTAATTCTTGGCGTAATTTGTAATTTAATTTACAGTCATTAGATTTCAACGGACACCTTTGTATAATATATTCACTTTAAAAAGGACTTTTAATTTTACCGGTTTGGAAAACATATGAATCATTTTTAATGGCTATGGGTGTAGTAACATTCAGCCAAAGACTGATCGAAGTTGTTTATATAACATAAAAACAAATCTATTGTGTAAAGATCGATAAAATAAATATTTTTTTTATTACACTGTGGTATTAATATCCACAACTATATTATCATTTTCACTACATGCAAATGTGCTCAGACAATTATTATAGATGGTAGGCGACATCATAAAGTCTATTGCCATACATTTTTCGCCAAACACCTCCATAAACACGTTATAATCTGTTTAGACTTTAAGGTATCTATCTATGAGCCTACGCCTGACTATAAATAAATAAAATTATAAGGTGTGATACACTAAAAATCACACGCACAATCACAAAAAAATTAAGCTACTGAATATATGGCTATATAACCTAAACCTCTTAGCTTTCTTTGGTTACTGAGAGTTTAAAAATTCTCTCTAATCTGTGGCTCATTCACAATCATCACACAGTTTCTGTCACAGAGTACCTTATTATAACCGGAAATGCATATATGACACCTGATTTTAAAAGTTACTCTTATGCATTAACTTTAAAAACAGGCAACTATCTGTTAATCTACATGCTCTATATACCTGAATCTAATCCATAATTTCGGTACTTGGCTTCCCTAGTTTACTATATAACTTATTTGTTTTTTATTATTTTAATATGTTCAGTGTATATGGTTTATAGAAGTTCTCAGGGGTGTCCGTCAATAATATTAGTTTTTACAGTAATTTATATATAATTTCGAATCTAGGAAACAATTTTTCATTATTATTGGTCTTTAGGCCAAATATGTATGGAAGCTGAGCAATCTCCTTTTGCTATGAGAACTTTATTTGTATTTTTTTTTAATATTTTTAATATTTTTTTTAGTATATTAAATAACTGATAAGAACAAAATTAAAATACTGTGTTTCCATTTCATGCCCTAATTAATGCAGAATAATCGGTAAAATGGACCAAATTTCAGTATTTTAAGGAATTTTATACTTGACCACGTGAGTTTCGGTTTCGGTTTCGGTTTCGGCCGAAACTGAAGCCACGGCCGAATGTTCGGTTTCGGTTTCGGTTTCGGCCGGAAAACTAGTTTCGGTCGGACACTAGTTTTTAGTAAAATAATGAATATTTTTTTTAAAAAAGTAATAAAAACCCCTGCTAATATTCATTCTAAACACAGATGCTAACAATTGGCACTTTATTTTTAATACTGACAAATAACTTATTATTGAAGTAGATATAAGCAAAAAATTGCCTATAAAGAATAAACGCAATCATTGGAGTTGTGGTGATTGATTAGAACATTGTTTCACGTTCAAAGCATAGGGCGGACATCTTTGAAAGCTGGAGAAAAGCTGTCGAATTGTAGCAAACTCACTGAATAAAAATCTAAATAAATAAAATCCATTTTTGCGGATCCTCTGTAATAGACCAAGAGCTACTGAACCCTCCGAGAAACGGTCTGTCTATAAGGCTAGAAATTCTTATGGTGATGAGTCATAGCATGTTTAGTACGGTAAGCATCGCCTGGCAGTCTCAAATATTTTTTTGCCACTTTTAAAAATATACGGCTTGGTGACATGTAGGGCTGAGGAGTGCCAGGCGATGCTTACCATACTAAGCATGCTATGACTCATCACCATGAGAATTTCTAGCCTTACAAACAGACCGTTACTTGGAGGGTTCAGTAGCTCTCCTACTATAACCTTTTGCGTTCTATCAAACAAATAAAGATCTAGGTACAGATGGATTACCTTTTTAACTTACTCAAGTGCTTTGTGGCAATCTAGACATGGAAGAAGTTCACTTAATATCGTTCAGTGTAGTTGTAGTCAACCATACGTCAGTTTAAAAGTTTATTTCGAAAAATCTCGCTAATGAAAAATCATCTACTTAAAATTTGCACAACACTGACTGTACATTAAGTCTGATATACAACTGGTATGTGCTGACACTTGTGTGTGTGTGTGTGGTTATGATAACAATATCCGGATTATTTTCCTGTATGTATAATTTATCCCAGTTTATTGCACTTAAAAACAATTATTGTAACCAATTGACCTACATAAGTGACCTGTTAATAAAATTTTGGTCGAGTACCGTTCTTTCTTCAGATCACCGACACACAATTACTCAGTTTGAAATCACGGTAATGTAATAAAGACACTTGTTCATAGTGTTTGATTCAATACTCACAATATCTGGATTGAGGTCCTCGCCAGAGATGCTAATGTCACTTTCAGGGCGCGAGGGTGCCTCTTCCCTCGCGCCTCCTGCGCTGGTGTCTACTGCTCCTTCACTTGGCTTCAAGATACGAGCTGAAACATTCAGATCACAAGAGTTAGTTTTAACATATTTAATTGTAAATCATCATCAATTCAGATATTTGTCAAGTAACCAGGAAACTAGACAAGAACTTTATTTAGTTAAAGATTTATTAAATAGCTAAAAAAAGATCAAGACTTGTAACACCTTGACGAAATAGTTGACAGTTGTAATTCTCATTAAAATTAGTACCGACATTAAGGACAGTGTCGAGGCTAATTCGTGCGACACGTTCGATGACGAAGACTTGTTATTGAAGGAATCGGAACGGAAGGACCCAGCAGTATAAAAGAAAAACATGAAGTATGATTATAATAATGAAGTATACCAAATACAGAATTAAGAATACCATGAAAGATACAATGAAGGTTTATGATATGAAGAAGCTAAATCTAGAGCTAGTTTACTGCAACGCATGCGGGAAGTTAACGACAACAATTCAATTAATACTCCAGATATTTTAGTGGTCTGTTTGTGATTTCGCATGATGACGAATGATCTCATGCAAAATGATTCAGAAAGAAAAATCATTGTGGTACACATCAAATTTGGTCACACAAATACTTACCGATGATCCACGGAAGTGATTTAATTGAAATTCAAAAGTATTTAGTTTACAATTAAATTATTAAAGACAGAGTTAACGTACTCACAACTACTACCCTACTTGTTTAAGAGGATACTGACTTGTTTCAACATTATAATTATGTTAATGCGCAGATAATGGGAAAATGTTAAATCAAGGCTGTGAATCAGTAGCGTGACAGCTATTGTTATCAGCACCATATTGACTTTGCAGCTGTATTTAAAAAAAATCTTTGTACTTTTCTTTGAATACCCGAGCATAATTACAGCGAGCGTGTTTGTTATTATATATTTAAAATATCGGTAGTGCTGTCTGTGTATCAACCAGGCATTTAATTTAATGTATTATTATAATGAATTGTATCTATAACACTTTTAATACTGTAAACTATACCAGGTTTTATTCTGGATTCGCCACAATTTACAATCCAGATTCATTGAAATACCATTGTTGTTTTAGTACTCATTTCTTTGTAACCAGCTGGCGCAAGGTGATTTACTTAGATCTTTAAAAAAGAAAAGTTAAATCTTTGGGCTGTGTTTTCTTTTACACTATTACTGTCATCTTTAAAGTAATTTAATTTGACTATACCTAATTAGATTAAAAAAAATATATATATAAACTAAAATCTTTAAAATGGTTATGGTATTGAGCGAGTAATCAAAAAGTCTGTAGAGTAAATCTATTTGAATTTTTACAATGTAGTTCAGAATAAAATAAAATAAAATAAAAATCTGTTTGTTCATATTTAAAATTGATTTCTCGCCCATAGATAAAACAAAACAAAACTGCAAATGAACTGGCATGCTTCAGCCACTACTCACGAATTTCTACTTCGAACGTCTGGTCTGGTGGGGGGATCGGGTGTTCGGTCTCCGGCACGCTCGTATCCGGCACGCTCGTATCCGGCGAGCTGTCTGTGTCCGGCATGAGCGAGTTGAGGTAATTGTCCTCAGTGTCCGGGATGGCGGGCACTACGGACACTGAAGATTCGTCGGGCATCAGGCGCGGGGTTTCGGTGGCGGGGGCCTTGGTCGGTCGCGCGAAGTCTTCGTCATCGCTGTCACCGTCCGGAGCGTCACCTGATCCGGCCCGGCCGTCCTCGTCGTCCGGCCCCGGGCCTGCGCCCCAGCCGGATCCGGAGCTCTCGTCCGGCGCTATGCCAGACCCCTCATCGTCGAAGTAGACGTTGTCCGGCGCGACGCCGTCGTTCTGTATCCGCGCTGTGTCTTCTGTCGATGTCGAGAAGGTGGCTCCGTCCTGGAAACGATAACGGACACTTTATTGATGGACTCGCACAATCTTGCGTTTAGCGAAACACTAACCGCCTCATTGCAAAACGTGGGCAAAAGTTAAAACTGATGCTGTCCATTTTTGTTTGCTAAAAAAAAGGAGACTTCATTTGGTTTAAACAAAGGACTAAGTTTAGTCCGCGTTTTCGGGATAAGGCGGTGAATATTTTGTTGTTGTAAAGCCGTTTTGAAGTCAAACAGAATTAAGGGTTTTCGCATGGATCAAATCGAAACCTCAGAATCGGTATGCTAATGCCCGTGTAATAAAAGATATCGCATTGTAAAATAAGATAGATAGCAAATTTCTTCTTAAAAACAGGAAAAAGGCGTTATGTAATTTATTAAACAAAAGTAACATGCTAATTAAAAAGTGTAGAGTTTATATTGAAAATAATTAAGTTTTTTTTATAATACGTATGTAATGTACATTCTTTTTGACATAAATTTTTCACCTTATCAAAGTGTAAACACACGAAAAAAAGAAAATAAAAAGAAAGACATTCATTCGAGAATAAAAAGGCGTGACAATCGACACAATAAAAATTATACGTCACCAAATCATATGACCTATTTCGAGAAAATTCGCCAATCACAAAAGATTTTGGTAGCAACTAATACGGGGGGTGTTAAAATAAGAATCGATTTCAACCACATAGTTATTTTTAGGTGAAGAACTGTGATTAATTACCTCTTTTTAATCAGCAGGCTCAATCGGTGACACGGTAAAAAAAACACTTACTGCGTTCCATCTACGTCATCATGAATGGACTGAAACATGAATGGAACTCGTTTGATCGTTCAACTCACCTGAAACCGCACGGGTAGTAGTTTACACACGTTTCTTGTATCGAATTAGGCCTGATTTGAGTTAAATTATTTATAAATTTTATCTTATCGCGAAGAAATGTGGTTAGCTCGGTTGGCGTAAGTGACGGTGCAGGCGATCGATAGGCTTTCGGGGTGGGGAACGTTCGGGGGGATGGAGATGCGAGTTCCTTGATCCCGCCGGTAGAGGACGGGACACGGGAAGCGCGAAAACCTCCCGTTTCGCGTTGCGATTTTCAGCTCGCCCCCTAGTTCGACTTTGCTCCGTTAGATGGCGTTGGCAGTAATGCGAGCGAATTGGCCGCAGTAAAAGTGGTTTTACCATTATTGATGTAAAACAATCTATAAAAATGAGCACAAAGCTAGTTGCGTTATACGATGACCATAAGCGAGTTAATGAAATTTTATGAAAGGGGATTAACTTTGTTCATAGCAGCAGGGGATATAACATTTTTTATAATGGTTTAGAGTTGATTGCGAGTTATTACCGTATTTTGTTAAAGGTGAAAAATATAAGTTATAACGCATACTCTTTACTTATGACGACCTCCGTGGCCGAGTGGTTTATACGCCGGGTTTCATGGCGTGGCCGACTCGAGAGGTCCCGGGTTCGAATCCGGGTGGGGGCAGATGTTTGTGTGATGAATACGAGCATTTGTAGGAGTACAAATCGCCTGACTGGAGACTGGAGAGTCATGGATGTTTAATATGTATTTCATATAAATATACTTATATATGTACAATATATGTATTCTATCCGTTACCCTAGTATCCCATAACACAAGCCTTTACAGTGCTTACTTTGGGGCTAGGCTAATTGGTGTGAGTGTTGGAAATATTTATTTATTATTATTTATTTAAACTACCCAAGCAGTTGGTATCTAAATAGCAACACAGATCTACCAACTAATATCTATTTGCGCTCGTCACACAAAGATAGGCTGATGATGGTAATAAAATAAATGCCCCCACTGGTATTCGATCTTGGGACCATCACAACAGAAGAACTGTTCATAGGTAAGATAGGTCATAAAATTACAATTATTATCTTGAGTTTCCTAATTCCATTCATACATGGCGAAGGTCAGTACCCCTAACACGAACCAATATCGAATTCGAATAGTTTGCGAGTCATTGTCAAATTTTGTATGGAAACTTGAACAGCAGCGCCACAAAGGACGTAACGAAAACTAAAAATCAATATACATTTGACAATGACATTTCGCACTCGCCAACTATTCGAATTCGATATTAGCTCGTGCTAGGGGTAATATCACTGTATAATTTTGTATGAAAACTTGAACAGTAGCGACATAAAGGACGTAATGAGAACTAAAACTGAGTACACTTTTGACAATTACATTTCTTACTCGCAAACTATTCGAATCCGATAATGGTTTGTGCTAACGATACTGTTTCCTTTTAAGGAAGCATTTACACAGCTTGGGAAGTTAGTTGACAGAGTAAAATTCCCATTCCTTCTGATACCGTTAAGTACAATACAATCACTCATGTTACTTTTAGACTTTACATTAGCAATTTATTATTTAGCAGTATAGAAGACATTTATGGCGTTCCTCACAATACCACAATACATGGTGGATTGTAATTAATCTTCAACAATGGTGGTATGACAATACCGCCTCTTTGATCACAATGACCACCCTCGCTTACACCATGACTGCGTGTTGCCAGAATGACAAGGGACATGTGACCTTTTCTGACCCATATCAGATACCTACTTATTTTTCATGCATTCTTTAAAATATAATTTTATTACTACTTAGCTTAGATTTCCTAAAACTGTGTTATATTTAAATAATTAGCCATGATTTCTGATCGCGTCCAATTCGATAGTCTTTTGAATTTCTGATGCGCTCCATTTTTTTTCCTATTTTCTACCCCTTCGTACGATCACTCCCACACCTTGCAAACCGTCAGATTTTTTTTCCGTTATTAGAATCGTTACGTGAACCCTCCTTCTAGCTACTATTCAAAACACTGATAATGGAAAGGAGACGGTTCAAATATGAAAGGTGGTAGTGAGTCTCCAGCAGACACCATTTTTATGAGACGTAGTGGTCCTAATTGTAAATAGTTTGCCACAAAACTATAATTAATTTCATTTCTGTTGATATAAAATTATATATATATATATATATAATTGATTGGCAAATGGCAAGTTTATTAATCTATTTTTTGTTGGCAAAGCTTCAAATATATGGGAGAGACCACCAGGGTGTGGGGTTTCCGAAGGCCACGAATTATTGTATTTAATAGGTAACTAAAGCAGTGATAATATTTCTGTTTGTCTTTCATTTCATTATTCGGTATTTTGTGGGTATTATAATTATTTTAAGAAGAATCAATTATAAATTAGTATAATAAGTTCACCACGATATCACGATTATCATGCATGGCTGGACTGATTAACATTTGCCATAGTGATTAAGTTGACGTTAGCAGCTGCATACACTAAAAATATGACATTACTTATGCCAGCATCCTTAAAAAAATCTTCAATTCTTAAAAAACTATTTAAAATTAATTGGCAATAAATAATAAAATAAAGTAATAAAGTATCTGTTAATGTTATAATATAAAACAAGCTTTCAAATCATATATGTTTCATCGCTGTCGAAAACCGACTTCCACTTTTGAACCATCTCCTTTACATTAAGTTTAGTAATATGATGAAAATTCTAAAAATAATCTCATTATAATGAGAGTATAGAGATGTTAGTTTATGTTAATACATATAAAAAAAATGAAAGTGAAGTAGATTTGACCGACTTCAAGGTGACAGTCGTTACCCTGCTGCTCTCGTCTCAGTCTTAATCAACCTCAATTTTGGTTAACACTTTCCCTAGATGAGAGAGGCGATTTAATATGACTACATAAATAAATTAGTAGGGGATGGTCAAATCCAGTTGAAGGATCGACCCATCCTTTGTTTATAAAGATGGAGAGTGTCTTAAGATTATTATTGGATGACATCAATTTGAAGATAGTTGTTAAATAATAATCTTAACAAATACCCAATGTTCTAAAACAGTACATAAATTATTTTACCATATCAAAAAAATACTCCAGCTATATCTTACTTAATATCAATAAGTACGGCTTCCTACTAAAGTATTGTCAAAATAAGCCGTTTATTTCGTTGCTTTAATAAAAACGAACCATTCATCGGACACATTTTTCGTTGTACATTTCCCTTGCTACAATAGAATTGAGAGTTGCGGGCTGTGTTGCCAGGTCTCCTGTTTTTCTGAAATTTCTCCTGTTCTTCTACATGAATCTACTGTTTTTCTTAAAATACGATTTTCTCATTTTAATTGCATGTTGAGTTGCGTTTTCCGCCATTACGAATGTAGGTAATATCTTAATTAAAATAAAATAAATATGTTATTGAAAGAACGAGCTTTGAGGGACGCGAGAAGCCACAGAAACACATTCGTTACTCGCCGATATCTTGATTTGATTTACCAATTCTTGGGGGGGAGGGGTGCAAATCGGAAAAAGTAATATTGCCAATAAATATTGCCAACACTCACACCAATTAGCCTAGCCTCAAAGTAAGCACTATAAGGCTTGTGTTGTGGGTTACTAGGGTAACGGATACAACACATATACTGTACATATATAAGTATATTTATATAGAACTAGAGGTCGCCCGCGACTTAGTCTGCGTTAACTTAGTTTCTTGAAAATCCCTCTAGAACCTAACATTTTTTCGGGATAAAAGTAGCCTATGTGTGAATCTAGGGTGTCAGCTAACTCCATACCAAATTTTATTAAAATCGCTCCAGCCGTTTAGACGTGAAGAAGTAACAAACATACACACTCACATACTCACAAACTTTCGCCTTTATAATATTAGTGTGATTACATATTAAACATCCATGACTGCCCCCACCGGGACATGACATCTGCCCCCACCGGAATTCGAACCCGGGACCTCTCGAGTCGGTGACACCATGAAACCCGGCGTAAACCACTCGGCCACGGAGGTCGTCAGTACGCCTCTGCATCTACTGTTTTTTTTGTAGCTCTTTCCATAAATCTACTGCTTTTTCTATAAAGCCTCCCGATTTTTCAAATTCGTGCCTGGCAACACTGGCCGCTCGCGTTCGCGCGCGTACTCTGTGTCTGGCTCGGTCTTTATAATCCGCCGCGGTGGACCCGTAATGAGAAATATTATTTATTGTGCTCGGGTAACGAGGCCTGCCTGACCCGCATCCCCGGTTTATTACGCTTTAACGGTGTAACGTGTGTTAATGCTGCTCCACGTATTTTGTTTGCAGCGTCGTCTAATTAAATTTTTATGTGTACACAGTGACTGGATAATTCTTTTTTTGTAACTACCTCTTATAATGCGTGGAGAACCTTCTTTTGTTTCACAGCCGCCGTAATTATTTTATAGGGTGCACGTTGTTTCATTTAACCTTTTATGAGGGTGGATTTCAGCATGTTTCGTGCGTGATTTCAAGCGCGTACTCATTTACACATACACAAAAGTACAGAGACTCAGTATTTTTTTCATATTTTGTGAAATAAAATGAAAAGTCATTTATTCAGTCTAGGCTGTTACAAGCACTTGTGAAGGTCAAGAAGCTACGCCATCGGTTCGCAAAACTACGGCGGGAGACCTTGTACTGAGAATAACCGGCAAGAAACTCGGCAAGGGCTGTTTTTTTCTCCCTGTATTGTTATATATTGAGTCGTCAAGTTGAAAAATGACTTCAGAAAGTGTGCTTTGATATGCAAGGGTCATAGAGGAACACGAAAGGGAGTAGCAATAGGTTTTTTTTGAGTGTGTGCTGTTGTTCGCAGATACAAGATACTTTACAGCGTCACCGGGCTTGGGGACGGCGAGATCCTAAGGGGACCTCAAGCCGAGAATTGGCGAGAGACTCTAGAAGTATTCCAGGCAGATGGCATCTTCCCACGGGGGGTCTCCTCTCCGTCTCAAGCCTCTAGACCACTCGAATCTGAGGAGGTCGGCTCAACTAGAGGGCGTCTCTGAGACTCGGACCTCGGCTCTAGTTAGCCGTTGTCGTGGGGGGCGGGGAGAAACGCCCAGGTAAGTACCTGTACCTGGTATAGCGTGTCATGTGTAGACCGGGTCTTGGCACTCTTAATAAAAAAATAGTCACACACACACACACACAACACACACTCATACAAATACATAACATTGAATTTGCATCTTATTAATTTTCAACCAAAACCGCTTAAAACAAATGTTAAAATTACTAAATTTATAAATTAAAAAAAATGCCAAAAGTTAACTTGAGATATGTCACTCAGTTTTATACAGCTCCTGTCAAATGTAATTTTATGTAATTATACCGTTTTGTTCATTGTTGTAATTTTTTTTGCGTGATTGAATATAACATACAAACTTTCACATTATTAATATTATAGTAGGATTTATTAATACAATAGTGTACACAAACCAAGTTGAGAAAATGTTGTGAATTCTAAATTGTACCGAAATATGTAGCGACTATCTTTGTATTTACTGCTATTGTGTAACATAACTTCATACCTTCACATGTTAAGCTATAAAGTTTTAAAGTAGACATAATACTTAGTTAGTTAAATGGTACAATTTCGGTGCTCTCAGTACGTAGGTACGCGGTATGATATGTTAATTACCATAATTATTACATTTCTCGCCGCTATCTTTGTAATAAAAACGAAACATTTTGTGGGATCGTCTGCCTGCTAGCAGTCTGTCCTTCTCTATGACGTTGGTAAACATGCTTCTGTCTCACTCGGGAGCCGTTCAATTCGTTATCATAAAACGAGAGGTGTATATGGATATATGTGCTAAAATTTACTGTACCACATACGATGTTGGTGTTCTGGAGTGTTGCCAATGTTGATATGTTACGTTTGTTTCGTGTTAATGAGAAAATGTGCGGTGTCTTTTTACATAAAACGTTACCAATTAGGCTCATCAATCCGGAACCTCTTCTGCCCATACCTCAGGCCCAAATTGAAACGTGGCTGCGTGAAAGAACTCAGAAACTACACTTGACTGAGTGGAAAACAGGTGAAGGATGCCGGCAAACGAAAAACGCAGTTCCGGTGGCAAACAAGAGACTTGCCCGCACCCTTACCAGACTTAATAGGGACAAACTCCGCATAATTATAGGAACCCTAACTGGTCATTGTCCCCTAAACAAACACCTATACGCAATAGGAGTAACAGACAGCCCCCTATGCAGAGGAAGTATGGATGCAGAGGAAACGCCACAGCATGTCATTATAGAATGCAGGAGTGTGGCCGACCAACGGGCACGACTTCTCCAGTCGCCAGCATCGCTTCCGGAAGCTTGCAGCAGTCTGCCAAGACTGCTTTCCTTCTGGACTAACCTAGGCTGGCTGGAGTAAACGGGAATGTTTCTAGGCACGCACAATGGTCCAATGATAAGGACTAAGTGCGGAAACCGGATTAAGGCCGGCATCGCATTTGTGATACTCCTGGTGTTGCAAGTGTCCATGGGCGACGGTGATCACTTACCATCAGGTGAGCCGTCTGCTCGTATGCCCCCTATAACATAAAACAAAACCGCCCTGAAAAACTAACTAACTAGGCTCATCAAATCATGTCTGTCAAAATAAATCGCTTATAACTTTATTAAGTAACGTACACGACGGATTAAAAGTATCGCGTACAAAAATTCCCTCAAATAACC